TTTAAGAATAAAAATCCATTTTCGTAAGTGAATCAGAATCGCAATGAATAAATAGTTCAATTATGTGCATTGCATAATATACTTTGCGTCTTAAAAGAAAAATAAAACAATTAAAAATTTAAAATAACAAAATTAAGTGTATACAGGTACTAAGAAAAAGTTACGTTAAATAATTTATATACAAGAAAACAAAATATAATCAAGAAGACTTACCTTGTAGCAGCCAAGGATATAATTGTGCAAAACAGCCATGCAATGACAAAAGAGCTTGTATAGGCCAGAGATTATGTGATATGAATCTTCTTATTAAATCCATTTTTAAACGTTATGACCTAAATTCCTCTTTTCTCAATCAAATACCTGTTTTACTATTGCGTTGTTTAGATTAATTCATGGATAGAATTGAATATTTTTAAATTACAACCAAAATTCACAAAGCCGGGTCGATTCTTCTCAAAAAATTATCTATAATTTTAAGTGGGAATTTTAAAGTGTATATTTCAAAAGACAAACCAACGCCTTTAGTTGATTTTTTAAATCAAAATTCAATTTAAATATGTCAAATAATCCAAATGAAAGCACGAGGAAGTACAGAACAACGGTTGACGGAGATGTTTTTAATAAAATTAATAAATAATAATATTTTTTTATTAAATAAAATTTTGTATTTGAAGTATTTAAAACCTAATTCAGCTACCATAAACCTATTGTTTTCTAATTAGAATACAATTAATTCACAAATATAATTGTATATTTCGCACAAAAATATTATTTTATGAGTACATACAAATGAATAAATACTTTTATATGTGTGTGTGACAATACTAATAAGCCCTTGTTTTTTATTCAACGAACTATTCTCTGAAATAACATTACAAAATTTGCAGTTATCTCTTCTATCGTGTGAACCTTAGCGCACACACACTTTTTTCACATAAACTTAAAACTCTTTTACCGAGTATGCATAAGCATGTGCCGAGCAAGGTCTTATGTACTGGTAAACTTTTTGTCACATATATTACACCGTAGAAATTTATCTCCAGTATGTGTCAACATATAACTAATAAGAATTAATGATTTTGTAAAACGTTTATCACATGCATCATACTGGTAATGTTTCTCTCAAGTGTGTCTACGCATATATACCGAACAAGACTAGGTGTAGTTGAAAGATTTTTCTTGCTTACACCACTCTGAGTAGGTTTCTGTTGCGGGATTTTTTCGCTTATGCTCCAAATGCTCTCCCGTTTTTTAAACCTCTTGGTGCGACATGCCAAGCGGGAAACTTTTGGCACCGGTATTTGTACATTTGTGGTTCAAAAAAGAATATTTTTTATTAAAATTTATGAAACATTTTTCGCAATAAGATTTCTCAAAACTAGGTTTTCTGCTTGAAAAAGAAAATCCCTTTCTTCATCAAATGTAGCAACGTTTAGGCCACGTAGTAAGAATTCAAAACCCGAATTAGTAGAATCAACTTTTAAAAGTAAATTTTTTAATTCAACGCATTTAAATTTACTTCCACTATCCATACCACAATTTGCATCGCAGTATGCATTTTAGAGTACCTAAATTTCATCATCAGGATCGAATAAATGGAATCCAGATAAAATTGAGTCTTCAGATCGAGAATCAAAGTTTTCGGAAACGAGATCATTTCCTGGGAATTCATTCCAAATAGACTGTGGCGAGCACTTCGTAATAACACCAACAGTCGACATATCAACTGAATCTTCTTGTTAACTTCTTTATTCTTTCTTATTTATACTTCTTATAATTAAGATGATCTTGTCTTGAAAATTTTTCCCACATACATTACACAGGAGAAGTTTATATCCACTAAGTCTGCGTTTCTCAAACTGTTGGGCTCGCCCCCTCTAAGGGGGCGTGATAACACTACGAGGGGGGCGCGAGCATATTGAAAAGTCGAAAACAAAAGATTATTCAAGAAAATTATTAATTTTTATGGAAATTATAAGCTAACAAAATACATTCTGATATAATAAAAAATAAATACACATTTACACTGATATAATACACTTATAAATATATCAGTAGTGCACCATGTATTTGATAATTAATTTAACAATACTAAGTTAAGAACAAATTGAAAAATTACCAGTGACCCCATTGGCTTGTCATACAAAAAAATTAAATATAAAAATTAACACTTATCTTAATAATTTGTAGGGTTCATAATTAATACCATAACTGCCGGTTAAAGGTTACTTAAAACCTTCCCCAATCCAACGTTTTCCACGTAGATGCGCGTATGTGATATTTGGGGAGGAATAAATAGCAAATCCTCTAAAATAAGTAAATCCTTCGGAAACACCGTCAATTATTGCATGCTAAGGCCTTCGGAATAATTTTATAGATAACAGTGCACAGAAAAATCGTACTTCGGAAAGACATATATATAAGTTCGGGGCAATAATCATTTTGGTTGAGCGAGACGTATATATACGTCAGTCGCACTTGAGGTTGAAGTCGTATTGTAGCTTTAGAGTCAAAGTATAGTCTTATTGAATTCAAAGCATTATTATTGTATGGAAGGGGGGCGCGATGAAAATTATGATTGAATATTGGGTCGCAAACAGTGAAAGTTTGAGAAGCACTGCACTATGTGTCAACATATGACTAAAAAGAATTATTGATTTTGTGCAACGTTTGTCCCATCATCATACTGGAAATGTTTCTCTCAAGTGTATCTACGCATATACCGAACAAGACTGTGTAGTTGAAAGTCTTTTCTTGCTTATACCTTTCTAGGCTAAGTTTCTATTTCGAGATTTTTTCGCTTGTGCTAAAAATGTCCTCCCATTTATTAAACAACTTCTTGGCATATGCCGAACGGGAAACTTTCGTCACCGGTATTTGTTCACTTGTGTTTCAAAAGAAAATATTTTGTATTAAAGTTAAGGAAACATTTTTCGCAATAAGATTTCTCAAAACTAAGTTTCTCTGCTCGAGAAAGAAAATCCATTTCTTCATCAAATGTAGCATAGTTTATGCCAAGTAGTAGGAAGTCCAAACCCGAATTAATAGAATACACTTTAAAAAATAAATTTTTTAACTCAACGCTTTTAAATTGACTTCCACTATCCAAATTACCATTCGCATCGCAGTATTGAAACTTTGGTCAGGTCATGAAAACGAATTCTGAGCTGGCACATACTAATCTCCAAACTTCCAAACCATCCAGAATGGAGACCCTTGAGAATCGAAAAATTTCATGTGATTCAATTTTCTATTCACTGTGTCTTCTCTGAGCCGCAAAGACTCGAACATACGAATCTACAACAACTGTTGCGAAATTGCCCTCATGCATACACAGTTGGTTACCACTGTTCCAGAAACTTCATTAAAGGAACTTGCTATTATGCTTTCTTAATCTAATGTATTTGTGTGTGCAAGTGGTGTACATTTATGAGATAACAGAAATAAAACATTTCTATGACCATGTGTTATCCCGGAAGGCATTTTACAAGCTTTAGTTTAATGGTTATAGTCACCGAACTTGTAAATATCTTTGTGAAATCCTGGGTTCGAGTCTTAGTGCCACTGACGACCACACCTGTTGAAAAACTGATGCACGTTATATTTTTCGAGGCTAAAAATCCTCTCCCTGGCGTAGTAGGAAAGTTTACAGAGTACATTATCTTGTGTCTTTCTCGTCATTTAAGAGAACACGGTACGATTTAAGAAAACAGTTTTGATTTACAGATTTTTAAAATTTTTAGTTGCATTCTATTTGTATATGTATACTATGAAACAAAATTTGTGCTCAAAATTTCATAAAAAATCTAGACATTTAATTTTTAATGAAAAAAACTTAGTTTGTGAAGTAATTTTAAAATGCTACTTCTCCTACAAACACTTTCTTACACGCATAAAATTTGATTTACAAGTACATCAAACTATGTACAATAGAATTTGATATGGGTTTTGCTATAACATGATTGGTATTCGTACAATACGTCTTTTTACGAATTCTTATTGAAAATTCCTTAAAAAATCCATAAATTACGAAATAAATTATTTTTAAGAAAATAAGTCTTGCTTTGATTCAAAATCGCACACCAGCTTTTCTTACATGTACTATTAGTGAAAGGTAATAAAAATTTAAAGTATTAGGCACAACTGAAAAAAATCCTTAGCATTTTAAATGAAAACACAAGCTAGTTATTTTATCTTTCTAAAAGAAGTCAGTTTAAAGTTTTGATTTGCCATAAAGATTTGAATGAAAACGAAAGTAAAAGCTATTATAATTCTTTGTTTTTTAAGTTTTTGCTTTCAAAATTTGTCAGCTTATAGAAAAATATATTAAGAATAATTTAAGCTAAGAAATTAGATCTGATGTTTTAACCGATTTTTGTCAACTGAATCCTACTGTTTCCTTATTTTTGTTCAAAATTATCAAATCCATCGCCATCAGTACTTATAAAGCTCAGAATCCGAGGTAAATAAAAATTAAATCAAATATTAATAATTTTCGCGCACGCGCGAAGCCAAGAAGTAGCGACACAGCAAATGAAAAACAAAATCTCAATGAAATATCCTAAGAATATATGTATTGCTACTATTATGATTTATAGCTAGTGGATAAAATAAATCATATCATCTCGACTCACGATTGTAAATTGCGGTTTGAAATAATTTACGCCTTTTTATATGAAATTCAGCTTTTGCTGTCATAGACGAACGATACGTGAATGAGTTTCTTTATTCACACACAACTCCTACTATATATATATTAACTCAAACTCTCTATTTGTATATTTATTTATCTTCTTGCAATTTTCACTTGTTAAAAAAATACTTTTTATTCTCATCCACTCAAATTCAAATATTTTTTTTTAAATTTGAATTGGATGACACTTGCTATTAATGCATTTTTTTAAATATTAATTCATTAACTTTATTTAATTAATTAATAAATTGTAACAAAGAAAAATAATAGTCCATAACAATATATAAAATGGAACATTTGTTGTTGTGTTTCTGTAGCGAAATAAATAGCGCGTTGGAGCTCTAATCCAAAGGTCGTAAGTTAGATTCCTACCGGGGATGCCCAAATTTCTGAAAATGTGAGTTATGAATAAATAAATAGTATCTAACAAAAATAATAGTCACACCGAATGGAAAATTGCTTTCTATTTTGCCACTTAATATAGTTAATCTGCCATATGTATGTTCATATTTATATTAATTGTAATTATTCAATAAAAAGAATAAAATTTTAAAAATGTATTAAATAATAAAATTTTTCTCTGTTGACTTTAGTAGGAATTGACATAATTTTTTTTATATTACTTTTTAAGTTTCAAACACGAAAAAAATATAATTTGAAAGCATATTGCCTTGAAGATATATTTCAGATATTGACTTTTTATATTTGCATATTATATCTTCCAGGCCCAAAAAAAAACCGACGAGAGAGTTATTAAAAATATTTCATTGCCAAGGTAATAAAATAATGACTTTCATACAAAAATTAATATGATTTAAAAGGATTAAAATGAATATTTAAACTTTTAGGTTACAAAATTAAAATGAGAACCCAGTTAATACTTTATTTATTTAAACAAAATCTTTTAATATATCTAATAAATCTAATGTTTATATTTTATGCACATTTTTGAGAAATCAACTTTATGCTTCCTTATAGTATAAATAAGGATTTATTACGTAAATGCATGTACATTTGAAGCAACATATAACCCAAATTGAATAAAATTAGTATATTCCTTACGTGCTGAAAACCTTTATAATATTGGCATTGAATTTTAAAGGTTTACTTTGTGATATAAATGAAGTTGCTTCTAAAAATTACTCCTCTGAAGGAGTAAAAAGTGATGAAAACTGTCTTCTTGCAAGGTTTATAGAAACTTAGATAAAAAGAAACTTTGGACGTCTATTAAGCGACGGTAAATTAAGTTCGAAAATAAGTTTCAATTATTGAAAAGAGAATTATATGTATTTTCTTACGGGCAATATAATTGGCAGTTATTACGCAAGAAATATTAAAACTAATTTAACCAAAACGTGCTTATTCATTTAAACTGAAATAATAGCTTTATATTCATATCGTTTTTTACTATGCGCTTGCATTTAAGAATGTAATAACTTAGGATTATTACTTCAAGCACATAAACGCGTAAAGTTTAAAGCAAAATTCTCGATTTATAAATTCGTACACAAGTTATATAATTTTAATGAATTCTAAATTTACTTAAATTGTTGTATTTATAAATTTCCAAAATTATTTGCAGACGGATATTAAAAATATTGTTAAGCTTTCAAGAATGAGCAGTTATGGATTTCAAAAATCTAAATATAATAACAAATAAAAATAATAATCTTTTCTTTAAAAATAAAGTATTTACTCAATTTTTTTAATTGCAGTTTTGAAGAAAACCTTATCATTCAAAATAACATATATTTGTAATAATATTTTTAATCATAAACTTTTACCTTAATTATTAAAATTATTCACGGACACACTGGAATACATAAAAGTAGTAACACAAAATAAAAATCGATATGTTTATTAAAAATATCATCGAGCAATGAAAAACAATTTTGACTACAATATTTAAAACTGAACTGTACATGTTTAATATTAGGAAAAAATTCCTTATCATCACAGATATCATATAATAAAAAATTAATATATTTATCTTCACAAAAAACCGGCATATCTGTCTGATTTTCAATAAAAAACAGCAAACAAAAATAAACGGTCCATATTTAAATGAAATTTTCTGCGCAGAAAGTATTTTCTTTTATTTAACTTTAACCTTACTTTTTAAAATAAGTGACTTATCAAACTAAATATGTTGTCGTCTACATATAGAAAATGAATTGCAGAATATCTACCATTATATACAGTCCTATGTTTAAAAGTCAATCACAACAATATGACTCTTAAAACTTTATAACAAAAAATAATTTTGATACTATATTTGTTCAAATCACTTTTGAAAACAATGCATGATAATAAGTAAATTTCTAGGTATCCAAATTCACTACTTAGAAATATTTCTAAAAAGGGATATTTTCCATATAAGTGTTTTTCTTCACACACAACACAAGAAAAACTTGCTTTTACTCACGTATTCCTTTGTGTCTGTTATGTGGCTCTCAAAAAGCAGCAAATATTGTTTCGTACGAAATATCAGCGAAATTGGAGCAACTTCATTGTATTTTAATTTAAAAAACTTCCATTTCCTTCTGCCATATAAGGATACTTTGACTATGTATATCCTAATGTCCGAATTTTGCACCCGGAAAAGTTTCACAAACACAAAACGCATTTAGAACGAATTCTGCTAGTATGTGTCAGCATATGCTTTTTAAGATTACATCTTTGCGAAAATTTCTACTTGCAGGAAGGACACTGGAAAGGTTTCTCTCCAGTATGTGTCCGCATATGAACATTAAGTTCTGTTGACGTTGCAAAACGTTTTTCACATACATCACACCGGAAATGTTTCTCTCCAGTATGTCTCTGCATATGATCGTTAAGATTTGATGAACGTGAAAACCTTTTCTCACACACATTACACTGGAAAGGTTTCTCTCCAGTGTGAGTGCGCATATGCAGAAGAAGCTTATTTGCACATGAAAACGTTTTTCTTACAAACGTCACACTGGACAGACGTATCTTCAGTTTTCTTACGATTATGCTTCTTCTGTTGCTCCTCTTGATAAACATTGTGTTTACTTCTTCCATTTATGAAATTATCTCCGGTGCTTCCGCATTTGTGTTTCAAAAAAACAAACTTCTTGTTAAATGTTTTTAAGCATTTTTTGCAGTAAATTTTCTCATAAATAGGTTTGCTTGTGAGAGGGAGAAAATTATTATTTTCAGTTAGTTGGTTAGAGTTCATAGATGTTTCAGGACAATTAAAACCCGAGTTAATGGAATCAAATTTAAAAACTTCCTTTTTCGAATCAATGCTTTCAGATATATTTTCACTACTTATGCTAACATTCACATCAAAGCGCTCATTTTGGAGACCTAATGGTTCGCCTTCAGGATTAAATGAATTTAACTCAGATAGAATTGAACCCTCAGATTGAGAAGCAATGTTTTCTGAATTGTCATCATTATGCTGGGAATTTATTCCAAGTAGACAGTCGCATGCACTTCGTATACAGTGTCCAACCACGGAGATATTAACTGAATCTTCTTTTTCACTTTCTTGCACTTCCCTATTTACTCTACTAAATTCATTGTATTCAAGACCTGAATTTGTTATAACATCTTGAAAATTATTCTGCCATTTAAAGAAGATTGCGTAAAGAGTCGGCTTGCATTGGATACTTGAACTTCAGTCCATTTGTCTTGCATAAGTAGACTGCAATTATTCGCAGCGCTCTGTGATGGGTAATTCAAAATTTTTCGTAGGCTTGTGGCCGGAATTCATTTCGAACACTTTCAAATGCATTTGTACGTCTAGTCGAAATTGGTTCCAAAGTAACAAAAGTCTTTTCTAAATCATTTTTTCGTCCGTATTCATTTTAAACGTTTTTTATTATAAATGCTGTGGAAAAATTTGCTTTTTTCCCAGAGGTATAGACGTCAAATTCTGCTTAATATTTAATAACTCTTATAGTAAATATAAAGTCGATATTTTTTCTAATATTTTGTTTCCCTTCTAGAGCAATTGGCGGGAAAACTTTTAAAGTAACTTAAAAAAAGATAAGAAGTTTTATTTTATCGATAGTAATGTACTTTAAGTAAGAATTCGATTCCATAGATCTTTATTCCTGTTTTGGCAATGCGGGTTTATTTTTAAAAATGGGAAATTCCCCGTTTTTTAATAATTTCTTAAAATATCTTACAATGTTTGAAAAGGAAAATTTTATCAAATATTAATTTTGGTGTCGTCGTTTTTAAAAGAAATTTGAATTTTAACGATGCTTGGAAAGTTGTGTGTGTTGTCTGTGACTGCTGTATTAAATTCTGATCTTTATAAGATTTGGGGGATTAAATATTCATCTATCATTAAATTTACTCCTGATCATGTTATATTTTACTCGGGAATCCACAGTATCACTCGAGTGTTACTGGAAACGGAAGACGTAATTTTCAACCATATTCAAGTGGCAAGAATGACACCGTTTCTTCTCTACACTGTTTCCCAAACACCTACACAATGCCTACAGCCGTGACAGATTTAACGTGCATTAACTCTTATCTATTGTAAGTGTTCTTCCACTAAAAGAACTCGAATCCAGTTTGACAACGATGTTCATAATTCCCAATCATGATCACTAGGCTAAAAACTTGCCAGGGACATCTTAAATATTCTTAGGGCCCCCGGCCAAAAGGTAGGATTGGGGGGTTTTCACAAATAGGATCCATCATGATCCAAAGTAAACTTTACATAACTTACGTTACTAAATACACGTACAAACAATAATTCAAAACAAAGAAAAGTACATGACATATAATCGTACAAACAATCTCAACCAATTGTTGTCTTTTGACTTAGATTGTCAAAGGTGTAATTGGTAGACCTAGTCTTAGACATGGTCGAGGGGGGAAACACATGAGCCATTTGGAAAAATTTTCCAAAAATTCCCAGTTTTTTGGGGGAAAGATGATGATGGTGGTAGTTTGGTGTTTTTTGGCGCAAAACTAATTTTTGGGTATCTGTTCCAAACATTAATAGGTCTGTGGTCTGGACGGAAAAGAAGAAAAAAATTTGACCGGGTGGGTGTCGAAAATAGAAGGGGGTTCCCGGGGTACCCTGCGGTCGTGGAAAAACACTGTTTCCAAAAATATTCCCCGGGGAAAAGGGGCTGCTCATTTCCTCGGGTTGGCACCCGTACCCCCCAAAAAGGGGATCCCCGGGGCCGTTTTTTGGGGGGAATATAACCGTAAAAAAAAATTTACCTTTGAATTTTAATAAATCATGATCATTTTTGGGGTTATTCGATAAAAGTCGATTCCCCTTTTTGTCGTGTCATGGGCACGGCCCATTTCACCCCCTGCATTAAATCACCCCCGGAATTTTAAAAAAAACCCGAAAAAAACGCTTTTGCTACACTTATTTAAA